GAAGAGAGACTAGGAATTTGTATCTTACAAAATACTTAAAACATGAACAAGAAAAGATGACAGACAAGGCGGCTAGTACGGTTCTGGTAAACTACTTAGAAAAATATTATTCTAAGCAAAGTCAAGAATCGGGCACCGCGTCTACAGTGGAAACCATGATGAATACGATATATAACCATGACGGTAAAGCGCAACCGAGCGAAGTGGAGGGTGAACATCCTGCGACAAGGGAGGTACTGGTAACTAAAAAGTATAAACCAGTCGCACAGAAAATCCGACCCGTCTTTCAGGACCTACCAGATAAATTTCGAATTATTCGGGATATAAAAGGCGATCCAATGGACACCTTGCCAAAGCTGAATAGAAACCCACCAAAATTCACACCCACGGGACGCTATACTGAAGAGCGAAGAGAGCAATTTGACAAAGTTCATGACGGCGATTTCTTGTGGCCAGAGGAGCGCAAACTACTACATCATTTTATGATGGAAAACAACGAAGCCTTTGCTTGGGATGATAGTGAGAGGGGGAGCTTCAAAACAGAATACTTCCCACCCGTAGACATTCCAATAATTCCACATACGCCGTGGGTTTTGAAAAATATTCCAATACCTCCTGGACTTTATCAAGAAGTGTGCAGAATTATTAAAACCAAATTGGATGCTGGGGTATATGAACCCTCAAATTCTTCTTATAGGTCAAGATGGTTTTGTGTATTAAAGAAAGATGGAAAAAGTTTGAGGCTTGTACATAGCCTGGAACCTTTAAATGCAGTGACTATAGCGCATTCAGGGTTACCATCGGCAACCGATGCACTTGCTACGCATTTCGCTGGTCGTGCTTGCGGAGGAATGTTTGATTTATACGTAGGATATGATGAAAGGCTCTTGGCAGAAACTTCCAGGGATCTGACTACATTTCAAACACCTTTTGGAGCTTTAAGGCTTGTCACTCTACCCATGGGTTGGACAAATTCCGTTCCAATTTTCCATGATGATGTTACGTATATTTTACAAGAAGAAATTCCTGAAGTAACTGTACCATATATTGATGATGTGCCTGTCAGAGGGCCTGCAACAAGGTATGAGTTACCAGATGGAAAATATGAGACTATACCTGAAAATAGCGGTGTAAGAAGGTTCATAATGGAACACTTCGAAAATGCTAACAGGGTAGTTCATAGGATGAAATATGCTGGAGGAACCTTTTCGGGATTTAAGTCGGTAATTTGTGCGGCTGAAATAACAGTAGTAGGCCACCTATGCACTTATGAAGGCAGAAAACCGGAAACTGAAAGAATGAAAGTTATAGATCTTTGGGGACCTTGTAAAGACCTACATGATGTCAGGGCTTTTCTAGGAACTGTAGGGGTCTGCAGAATGTTTATTGAGAATTTTGCAAAGAAAGCAGAACCTCTCAACGATTTATGCAAAAAGGGAGCTCTGTTTGTATGGGGACCGGCACAAGAAAAGTCTATGGACAAATTGAAATCCTCACTTCGCGAAAGTAAAGTGCTCGTGCCGTTGGATTACGAAAATAATCCTAACCCAGTGGTACTAGCTGTAGACACCTCTTGGAAAGCGGTTGGGTTCTACATATATCAGGATAGCCATACGACTGGGCTTAGGCAGTATGCCAGGTTCGGTTCTATAACTTTGAATGATAGAGAAGCTCGATTC